GTGACACAATTTAAACTCAGGCTCAAAAAATTTAAAAATTAATATCACTGTAGGCCTGAAGGACTTAAATGGAATAATTTTTTATTTAAATGACCAAAATGTCCTTCATATAATTAATATTATTGAAATCAGGGGCGGGTATTGCTCCTCCACAATTTTGTGATGCCTCATGTAAATATAAAATAGATTTTAATTTTCTCCCATTGATATGTTAGTTTTGAACTCACTAATCAAGAGGAAAACGAGAAAAGATAAAGAAAAAAAAGGGAGAGAAAAATGATAATCACTTGGATATAGGTGAGGGGAGAAAGTGCAAAATTTGTCAAAGGAAAGAGAAAGCATAATTGGAGAGGATTGGGATTTTAAAATAATTTAAGTATTATGAATGATTATTTTCTATTAAGACTTTTAGTTGAAAGTGGTTAATTCTTATATTTTTAGTGGACTCATTTATTCCATTCTAGATTTTTACTAAAACCATTTATGTAGTTTAAAATAATTGTGATCTTTATATATTTAATTTATTGTTTAATATTTTTAGGAAATCAAGTTGTTACACATGGTAGGGGTTTCATTATTATTTAAACAAATAGTTGGAGTTTGAATCTCATCTCATGCTCATGTAATAGAACCTAAATTTTGCTACCGATAAAGTATATATCATTCATGTCTTACAAAAAAAAATAATATTGCCCCCATTAGCCCCAATTCCTAGATCCACCACTAACTGAAATAATAAGATAAGTTATAGTTTTTATAAGTAAAATTACTAAAATAATAAGTTAAGTTTTAGTTTTTATAAATAGCATTACTAAAATAATAAGTCAAGCTTCAGTTTTTTACAAGCAACATACATGATTAGAATAGCAAGTTAGGTTGTAGTTTTTACCAATAATATAATTAAAATAACAAGTCAAATTATAATTTTTACAAATAATATCAATAAAATAACAAGTTAAGTTATGATTTTTTCAGGTTAATTTATTGGAATAACAAGTCAAATTAAAATTTTCACAAGTAATATTATTAAAAAAACAAGAAGTAACGTCTATTTTAATAATATTATGTGTAAAACTCATAACTTGTTTTGTCATTTTAATAATGTTACTTATAAAAATCATAACTTGATTTGTTATTTTAGTAATGTTAACTATAATTGAAAGACTTTTTGGTCATTTAAATAAAAAAAATTTATTTCATTTTAGTTTTCTAGACTTGTAGTAAAATTTCATAATTTTTCTTTTGACTCAATTGAAATTATGTTCCATCCAAAGACTTTTAATGAAATTCTTCCTTCTTAGTATCTTATCTAACTCTTCCCCAATAAAAAGAGAAAGAAAGAAAGAAAGAGCCCTGTACGCATGCACCCCTCACTTACACACCAACCAGGAAAGTACCTGTATATATTGCGGGTACAGAGGGCAAATGCCCCACAATTTTTTTTTTTTGGCTCAATTTTATACATATAATGTATATAAATGATTCCTGATATTTAGCAACATATACTAATTCTAATGTCCCATAAAATGTGTGTATACATGTTGCTTCTGCGTTCTAAAATTTCTAAGCCCGTCACTGCACCACACACACACACAAATTGGTGCCCCTTTTTAATTCACTCGCGGGCTTGATTATGGAACCCTAGCATCAAGGGATGGGGACATGCCACTTGAGCTACAAGCTCTTGGCCACTTCTAGGTCACTATCAATGTAAGAACTTTACTTTACAGGTAAATGTGGTATGTCTTTAAATCATGAGGTATAATCTTAATGACTTGTTAGGATTCAACGCACTTTTTTCTGTAAAATTAAGAAAATTTGGGCATGTAAAGGAAAATAATTATTAGAACTTCTACTACAAAACAGATATAATGTAATTTCTATTCCTGGCTATATAATCTAGTGTAAGATACGTAGGAAGTGGTTTAAATGTTGTGCGGCGTGGATATATAACTTAGAATTATGGGGAACCTTATTTCTTGTGTGGCTTATAACTATATTTGAAATGGATGAGGTGGTCAAACAATATAATTCATCCATGTATACACGGAGGGCACTTCACTAAATGAAAAACCTCTGTAGATTTAATTTGGAGACGGACGGAATACAATAATGAAAGGAAGAGATTCATCGTATGAAGTCCGTAGATGTCGAAAGTGATGAAGGCGGGAACTTGTCCAGAAAAGAGCTGTCAGGGACCACTTGCTGTGCAATACTATTTGAATTCACGAGGAAATTTGGCATTATATGATTCAACATCCACGCAACTCCTTTTATTTTTGAACTTTTAATTCAATTCAATTAACTCAGTAACTAGTACTTCCTCTCTTCAAATATATAAAATATTTTTAATAAATTCACACTTTTTGATAAAATAATTATTTAATTTTAAATTAATATTATTTTTTATATTTATACTTATGTAATAAAATGTTTTACGTTAAAATAAATATAACATAATTATTTAATAGAGACACTTAAAAAAGATAATAGGTATATTTTAAAAAATTAAGGATATTTTATATTTTTTAATATTTAATTTATTAAATATATTTTATATTTTTAAATGGAGGAAGTATTATATTCCCTTCACATGCGCTGCGCTCACAATTTCTTTTTACAATCTCATATGCATAATCATATTTAAATTCTATGAAGCTGATACTTGTAAATTTCTGTAAAATTTTCATTTTTAATATTTTTTATTTTTATAAAATAAAATAATTTCATTCGTTCTTTCTTAAAAAGATAAATTTCATACAAATTTATAATTATCAACTTCTGAGGATTTGAATCATCCAAACACGCTGACAAGTGACAAACTCAATCTATGTGTTCTTCTTTTCTTTGCCAATTCTCCGATGGCTTTAAGTATATACCTATCGCCCAGCCACAGTTGTCATTTAGGCGTAGCCTCCCTCATTTGAGTCATTTGATTACTTTTTGTTCGTCCTTTCTTTGAATTTGAATCCTTCGTGCATCATTATTTATTCATTATACTAACGCAAAATAAATCATCCTGAAAGCTGATTACCTGCACATTGTCGGTGTTGTATATAGCACATCTTTTAAATTACATTTTTTCCCAAATGGTTAATTGTTTTGTATTTTTTCGTAAATTTTGACAAAGGTTAAAGTACTTTTATTTAAAGAGAACATTAACAATTTCATAGGAAATTTGAGCAATTTTTTTTGAAAATACACATTTAAATAGATATATTTAAATTTTTAAATTATAAAATTGACTTATTAATATAACACGCTCAAAATTTTATAATGTCATAATCTAGTAAAATAATTTGAAATATGTTTAAGCTTTAAATAATATTTTTACACCGCCAATGCTTGAAAAATGGTTTCAGTATGTATTTAAAAGATCACTTAATAGATAATTGTAAATAGATGTGATTAAAAATTTAAAATTATGTGAATAATAAGAATTTAGAATTATAAAAATAATTAATATTAAAATATGATCAAAATTAATCAATTTAACAGTACAACAAAAGCATTTGAAAATACACATTAAATTTTCTTGGCAGACACAAGTGTTTAAATTTAAATGATTTTTAAGTAATGTTTATTTTAAGAATGGTCCTTTCAGTCAAAATAAAAGAATATGATTTAACGGTTAATTAAATTTTAATGGCCGGATGGATATAAAATCCCCATGATTTGCAATTATCTTTGGTTTTTCACTGTAGTTTCATGGTACAAGTGATTATTAAACCAGCTCTTTAATATATCTGCGGGCCCCCGCATAGATGGGTGTAGTGATGTGGACTACATAAATCTTCATATTATGTTTTTTTTTTATTTCTGACATTTTTGGACTCTGGGTCCGTTTTTCTTTCCCTTATCCAATCCGGGGGTCTAAAAAATGTTGGCTCGATTTTATTGTCATATTTTCTTTCTTTCTTTTTTTGGGGCAGAGTTCTCATATATTTCTAGTTATATTGTAAAATTAGAAGGAAGATTTGTGTAATACAACTTATAATTTTTCTGGTAAAAAAGGCTATTAATTTTAAGAAAAGTTCATATGTAGTTTTAAAATAAAAAATCTATATATTAAATGGAAGGGAATCTATTCTTTTCTTTTCTTTTTTTTCTTTTTTCTTGTTGGTTTTTCTGCGTACTCGTGCTGTCGTGCATTCAACTTGGTTCATGTGGTTTAACTAGATCAAGGGTCTTTTTATTTTTTTTTTTCTTCTTTTTCCTTCACTTCTCTCATCATCATTATTCATTAATTTTATCATTTAAAAAAATTATTTAATAAAAAAATTTGAATGATAAAAATGAGAAACGTGAAAGAAAATTAAGAGAAAAAAAGTAGGAGACCTCGCTTCCGGTTTAACTAGGTGGCTCACACACATGGTCACATGGAGAAGGGAACCAGGCCACGTGGTCCAAGCAACTTGCGGGCCCCCGCAATTTAAATTCACTGGTCATTCCAATTTCTCCTGCAGTGACGCTCCCACATACATGTGGGACAAACCCTAGAATCTATTACCCCCTTTCAACATTTTCCACTGAATTTAGATGATTTATTTATTACTATCATCACCATATAATTTTATTGTTTATACTTTATATAAAAAATTTATAAAATATCCAATCATTTGATGGTATAACAGAACATGATTAAATATGTTATATTTTTTCCCATACACGATAATTTTATGAAACATGTATCAACCACAAAAATTAATTCTCGAATCAAATTCGGGAAAATAAAAAAAAATGAGGAAAGAACATAAAGTGCACTGTTGAAAGATATATAAGTGGCAGGGGAAAGAGCTATAAATATATTGGAATAATTCTTTTGAATATTGATTAATCAATTGTGAGGAGTGGCGTTGAAAAGCGGCACACATACACAGAAAAACATGAAAGTGACACAATAAATATATCGTCTGTGAAACACGTTTGGGATGTACATCCATGTGGATATATACGCGAGTACGAGGAGACTCCCTCGATCAGTCTTGGGTTCACAATATTCAGGTACACTGTAGAAATGAGGAACCCACGCAGTGACTCTAGTGGATTAAAGAAAGGTACTTGGACGCCAGAAGAAGACCGCAAGCTCATTGCTTATGTTACTAGGTATGGCTGCTGGAATTGGCGCCAACTCCCCAGGTTTGCAGGTGATGATTCATTGCACAACTCGTCTGTCTCTTTAATTAATTCCACATCGTCACTTGTTCTTTGTCACGTTGCATTCCTATGTTTGGAAATTCTCAGGTCTAGCAAGGTGTGGGAAGAGTTGCAGACTGAGGTGGCTCAATTATCTGAGACCCGACATCAAAAGAGGCAACTACACCAAGGAAGAAGATGAACTTATCATTAAACTCCACCAACAGCTTGGCAACAGGTTTGAACTTTTAACATAACCTTTGTGTTCAATTGCAGATATATGGTCTCATCTATTAATAATGATTTAAATTGACAAAGCTTTGTGTTCCATATTCAGATGGTCTGCTATAGCAGCTAAGCTGCCAGGAAGAACAGACAATGAAATAAAGAACCACTGGCACACCAACCTCAAGAACAAAAGCCAAACTCATCCTCAGAACAACTCAGTCGCTGCTGACAAGGATGAGATTATCCTCAAACCAAGCGACCCATATCATTCTCAAGGCATCATTGATTCAGCAACTTCCACGATCGGCCACGACAACGGGAAATCGGGGTCTGAATCAACCTTGTGCGAATCCTCCGACATAACGACGTCGGAAAGCAACCAGGATTTGGTCGGACATCATGAGTTCTCTTTTCTGGATGCGTATACTGAGCCGATGAGCGGAAATTTCTGGACGGATCCATGCGTGGTTGATTCTGACGTTCTCTATTACCCCCATACTGAAATACCGCCACTCGAGACTGGACCTCAATTCCTTACTCCAATGTCCAATGTCGCACAACTTTGGACTCACAATAATTTCTACGACCAATGTTATGGTCTCTTTTGCAATTATAATCAATAGACGGACCATTTCCATGCATGGTTTCGCTATCTGTCTAAAGTATATATGTTCCTTGTGTTTATTTCTGGGAAATGGATTATATTAATGCCCATTTTTTTAAGACTAATGGTTTGAATGTACTGCACTATACCATAAAGGAACATTGGAATAGGGTGACCATGTACGAATAATGGAATTTGTTACAAATGTCACGGCCATATCTAAATTTTAATTTAATCTATACTCTTTGAAAGTTAATGATATAATTGGCTCCTCTTACAATTTTGAGAACTTTTTTTTATAAGTCAAGTTGTTAAAAATGTCACAACCATATGTAAGTTTTAATGAAGTCCATATTCTTAAAGAAATTAATTGGCTTACAATTTTTTGAACTTTCTAGATTTAGTCTTAATGAATTGGACACTAAATTTAATTTTTTCATGGGTATAGCATAAATTAATGGAAGAAAAAGGTGAACTAAACTTAAAAGAGAAGGAGTTCACCTGCAAGTTCTTTATGACTTGGGAGAAATATATATATATATATATATTGGTAGAAGGAAAAATATATACTAGTTGCTTCAGAAATTCCCCAGCTCGCGGCTTTAGCTTTCCTCTAATCCTAAGGGGGAACTGCAATGGACCTAGGCCCGTTAGATTGATGCAAAGTCCCACAATAACCAGCTCCTTTGCCAGCCGCTCGATCAAACCAATAGTATAGATTGAGGTTAGAGAAAAAGTAGGCGAGAAGCAGAAGGAGACGATTGGTTTCCATCCGATCATGTACCATCAGGCATCAGTGGCTCATTGGATTAAAGGATCCAGATTCTCCCCACAGCGTCTTCCTCAACATCCCTCAGCGTCCCAAATCCCATCTCTTTAATAAATGTTCAATGTCTCCCATATCTACTCATATAAAATAATTTTATTTTTATTTTCAAAATTTATTTTGAAAAATTACCCTTAAATTTTTACAAAGAGATTTATAGTCTATCTTATTCAAACTTTAACTTAACCTATTTAATAAAAATTTGTCTTAAAAAAATTTACAGAATAAGTTAGACTTTAAGCAGGTACTTACAATTTAATTTATTTAAGCTCAGGCATGACCTTTTAATAAAAATATATTTAAAAGATTTGCAGAGTAAGTTAGAATGTAAGAAGATAATTATGATCTGATTTATTCAAGCTTTGACTTGATCTATTTAATAAAAATTTATTTCAAAAAATCTAAAGAGAAAATTTTTAGAATAAGTTTTGAAAATAGAAAATGAAATAAAAAATAAAATTATTTTATATGAGATGGTGTGGCAAATTATGAAAGATTGGATATTTATTGAAGGGATGGGGTTTTAGACATTGAGGGATGCTGTTGAGAGGATCTGGATCCTTGAATTATAGCATACTGAAGTTTTTTTCCGACGCTGTATTGTTAAATAAATAATAATTGAAATTAGTTGGAGAAAGATCACAATTAAAAATAATACTTTGCTAGTCGAAATAATTGGAAAAGAAAACATTGAATAAGAAATATGAATTTTTAATTAATGTATTGTATAAAAAATTAAAAAAGAAAAAGATATCAAGGGTGGGTAGCTCATAGAGAAAAGGTAAGAATGAAATGGGACGAGAGATCTAGTTGGCAAAAATAAATAAAAAGAGGCAAGGCAAAGATATCGAATCTAAACCCTTTCAATTTATAGGGAAAAAAAGTTTAAAAAACGCGTGAGGAATTTAATGGAAGGTGAATAAGATTAAAAAATACATATAAGCCACATGAAACGGATTTATTTATAAATAAGTTTTATAAAATTTAAAAATTATAGCCAAGTTCCTTGCAATCTAAATATAATTTGAAATTATGATACAAAGATAATACTATCTCTCTATTAAAGATATCGAAGTTACAGTTGTAAAATATTAAAATAATAGCTGTGAATTACTGATAAAGTAGTTATAAATAATTAATTTTAAATTTTGTTACCGATGTATAATCAGTTTAACTATTAAATATATAAATTATTAAAGAGGTAGTGTTGCATATAATTAGTTTTAAACTTGCAATGCATAGTCAATTTAATTATTGGGTATTGAAAGCTATTAGAGACAAGAGAGATAAATATATATTATAGATATGAAGGATACATTATATATACTAAGAAAATAGAAAACACAATAATGACTAATAATTATATAATAATATTAAATAATATCTCTTAATAATAATTGAAATATATATACAATAATGATAGAAGACATTTGGAGAATATTCTAGATAACATCCCCCCTCAAACTTAAGATGATTTAACAGAAAGTAACTTAACTTTGTCTACCAAGAAACGAAAGTGGCCTAGATAAAAAGACTTTGTAAACAAGTTTGCCGGCTAATGCTTAGTTTGAATTAGAATAAGTTGAATAGTGTCTTGAATAACATGCTGTCGAGTAAAGTGACAGTCAATCTTAATATGTTTGACTTGTTCATGAAACACATAGTTATGAACAATCTTGATTGCAACTCAACTATCAAAATAAATGTTTGTGGAGGAGCTCCAAGATGCCTATAGCTTATCAAGTAACAATGCAGTAAAGTACCTCAGCGATCGTGCCTACTAGTTCATGATATTCCGATTTAGCACTGGAGCAATAGGCTAATGTTTGCTTTTTACTTCTCTAAGAGATAAGAGAATGGCCAAGAAAGATATAAAAACTAGTCATAGATCATTAATCATCACGATCACCGCCCCAATCGGCATTTGAGTAAGCCCGTAGTGCAAAAGAGAAGATCGTGGAGAAGTGAAGCCCATAATACAAAGTGCTTTTAATGTACTAAATGATTTGAAGAAATGTTAATGAGCAGTTCAAGGCTCTAACATAAATTGGCTGACAATGTAAATTGTATAAGCAATGTCAAGATGGGTCACGGTAAGATAGATGAGGCTCTCAACTAGTTGGTGGTAACGGGTGGGATTATTTAATAAGGTGCCATTAGTGAAAGTATAATGAACATTCAGCTTAATAGAAGTATTTTCAACCTCCTTATCAGAAAGGTGAGTTTGAAATATCAAATTACAAGCATACTTGACCTAAGAAAAAGATATACCGTCTCTCTCATAGTGGACCTTATACCAGCCCTCCTCGGGATCTCACCGTTACCCGAGGTGATAGACACTCTCCCCCCAGGCCCCACAACAGGGCGACCCCACCCTTTTCGGTGAGCATCAGGAGACAAAGGCTTTCCCGCAGTAGTGTACAGATTATTCCCCTTGCGGAAAGCCTCCCCAGGTTCGATCCTCCAACCTCTCCTACATAACAAAGTTGAGGCTGAACCTGGTACCATTGAACAATGTGTTATGTAGGAGAGGTTGGAGGATCGAACCTGGGGAGGCTCTCCGCAAGGGGAATAATCCGCACACTACTGCGGGGAAGCCTTTGTCTCCTGATACTTATCGAAAGGGGTGGGGTCGCCCTGTTGTGGGGCCTGGGGGGAGAGTATCCAGTGCCTCGGATGACGGTGAGATCCTGAAGAGGGTTGTTACAGACCTCAAGCTTAAGAAAATTGTAAACTCTAGGTTAGACAAGTAAGGTTACCCTTATTAATCTACCATAATCTCCCAACATCAAGGTAATTATCAAGTTTATAAAATTATATAAATAGGGATCTCAAGTTTTCATAATTTAAAATACTCTCATATACTTCTATCATTTACGAGTTAGAGTTTGAAACATGTGTGGAAGCATGGAATCCAATTTAAATTAATGCATTTGCAAAAGAATTGCAAAAATAACAATTTTTAACTAACATAATACATGTGCCACAATATAATAGTCTTGCTTCGTGGCGTGCTATTTCTATTCCATGAGCTATGGCGGAAGAGCTATATGCTGCGACGCATTACACAAATTTGATAGCATTCTATTGTCAAATAACAGCACCCGAGATGAACTTCCAATGCATCCTTTTTCTCAATCAAACGTTTGATAGAGGTGATCTAAGTGTTACAGAAAGCTCTTTCCTTAACTCTAGCTAATGGTACATATTTCACAATCAAATTATTTTTCTATTAAGAGTAGACAGCCATTACAAATCTTACTCTTTTTTCACAATAACATACAACTAAGATGCTTAAATTGTAACGTAAGTGTTAAAAGCTTACACCAATCCTTAGACCACACACTCAATGGATTATTATAGACTCGTGCAACAAATCACAGTCAATTCAATACACATAATTCATAATTTTAACACTCAACCTTTTGATTTACAAAAACATAAAGGGGAGTTAACTTTGTATAGATCTACTAAGCATTCAACCATGTTAAACTAATTACACAATATCCTACTTGAACTAATATTTCAGCCCTACTAAATATTACAACTCTCACATAAATAAGTTTAGGGCATGAAATACATTCAAACATTGTGCAAGTAGTGAAAAATGGATTACGCTATTTTAGTTGGCAAATTAACAATTGAAATACACATAAAAGTAAATCCAGAGGTCTACTGATAGGATTCATAAATTATCTTAGGCCTCTAGTCATTTTCTTCGATTTTGATCCGATGAGCTAGGCCCTATAATGTTAAGAAATGAGGGATGAATACAATCACTCAGTAATCAAGATCAATCTAGCATATACAGCTACATATTAATTAATTATAGATGTAAATGGCAACAATTACACTCATCACATGCATATATCATGAAAATAGCCTTAGCTACAAAAATAACAATCATGCAACAAAATATACAACACAAATCATAAAATATATCTCAATTATGTATATTTTATATCACAATAATAACAACAATACACCCCTAATTAAAACATATTAGACCACAATAATAACAACCATGTGGGCAAAAATAGAATATATGAACAATAGCAACCTTATACCCTTCTGATACCTCTGACATAAAACTTGTGACTATTCAATGGCTAATCTACTACTTAGACTAACCTAGCCTTTTATTCATGAGGAGCTACCAGGCCAGGGCAAACTCACTCACTTGTGATCCACTGTTTCCCTTAATACTAACAACCATGAGGTATCATATCTCTAATTGAGTCTCCTCATGAATTGATAGAGATTAGTTAGGTTCAAATCTCTAGAAGAACAAGTGAAATAATATCTAATCAATCATGGGATAATGGCTACCTCTTAATTTCAACGGTCGGTGTCAAGGCAAGCTTTTGATGCCAATGATAAGCCA